GGAGCCTGCTTCCAATTCTGTGTCTCCCTCTCTCTCTGACCCTCCCCTGTTCACGCTCTGTCTCTCTCTGTCTCAAAAATAAATAAAACGTTAAAAAAAATTAAAAAATAAAAGGAAAGGGCATGTGCTCCTTAGAGCCTAACACCCCTTCCTGTAGCCTGGGATGTAGACACAATGGTCGGAGGTAAAGACGTTACTTTGGACCCAGGGACCGAAGACACGGCTTATAAGGAAAACAGAGTCACTTTACCAGCCCCAAACCGACTGCCACCTCTAGACAGCTACATGAGCAAGACGTAACTTCTGTCGGGTTTCAGTTGCTGCGTTTTGGGGGTCTCTCTGTTATAGTAGTTCATACTGAACAATAACTAACGTAAAGGTTAATGCCAGAAATGGGGTTCTGCCATAATAAAAACCCAAACTCTGAGGCATTACCTTAGCCATCAGGTAACAGATCATGAGGACACAGACGCACGGTGGGACATTGGTGACCTGTGTTATGTTAGAGCAAACCATCTGGGAAAACTGTGACGTCTTGCATGACAGACAGCCTGGCAAATAGCCAGACTATTTGTGTGTGTTTCCTACTTCCTGCCACTGTTAATAGAAACAGAGATGTGCTGGGGTCAGCCAGGATGGAAGGGACTCTAATAACATTAAGGCAGTCTCTCTCCATGCAGGTTATGATTTAAATTGACTGAGTCTGGTAATTTGGGGCCTCCCCGGGAAGCAGTGATACCAGGTGGCTCTGAGGAGACAGTTCCAGCAAGATGATGGCCCTTGCTCAACAGCCTGAAGAAGATGCCAAGGCCCAAGGCAAGAGGGCAGCATTTGGGTTTAAGAACGCTATCAGATGGGGGCGCCTGGCTGGCTCAGTCGGTTAATCGTCCAACTCTTGATTTCGGCTCAAGTCATGATCTCCCCATTCATGAGTTCGAGCCCCAAATCGGGCTCCGTGCTAACATCTCAGAGCCTGGAGCCTGCTTCAGATTCTGTGTCTCCCTCTCCCTCTGTTCCTCCCCTGCTCACGCTCTATCTCTCTCTCAAAAATAAAGATTAAAAAAAAAAAAAAAGGTTAAGGCAGTCAATTTTATGTCCAGTGTATTTCACCACAATAAAAGAAATGGGGGGGGGGGGAACTGTGTCCAGGGAAATCTTTGGCTGTACTTGCTTGTACTTGGAGCTGCCTGGACACACGAAGCTGGGGCGCCAGCTAAATATTTTAGAGAAACTGTAAGATAAAAGACTGTTGACTGATTGGCTTATAAAACAATGCCCCAAGGTTGTACCCTAAGGTCCCCCAAACCATAGCCGCAGGGAATGAAATGAGAAAGCTCGAGAAGTGGTGATGAGGGCCAGAGGTCAGTGAGGAGCCTCACACAGGGCGGAGCCCAGGACCAGGGAAGACAAGGGACCGAGAACTGGCAAGCGGAGGAGTCTCACAAGCCCCGCCTAACAAGAACGCTAAGTTGCTAATTTCAGTGAGGTCTGTGTGTCTCCCGCGCTTCTGCTGAAGCTTTGTCGTCGTCATTGTCTTCGTCATCGTTGTTCACTGCGGTTGCAACATTTATCCCACATCTAAATTGGGTTTTTCTTAAGTTCCTAGGTCGCCGGAACACGAGAAGCCACTACAGGGCTTGAAAGACCCCTCCTATTTCAAACACTGTGCGGTGAACAGATGAGTCGTGTGGGGCTGCATCCCCGGACGTGTATGAGAAGGAGGGGTGCGTGGGTATCATACTGTGCTGAATACAGTGGTACCAGTCTTTCTGGTTCTGCCTGTCTAGGGAGGTGCCTTCAGATGGTTCAGTATCAGGATATTTGCGAGACAAACAAACCCTCCTCTCGCTAATGCTGACTGTGTAACTTTGCACTTCGTTCGTCAGTTTCAGCCGTGGTAAAATCCACATAACACAAAATTTGCCATCTTCACATGTAACCCACTTACACGTTTGCGGGTCCGGTTCAGTGGTGTGAAGTACGTTCGCGTGGTTGTGCGACCATCCCCGCCGTCCCCCTGTCCTTGCGTGGCCGGCTGGTTTCATTTAGCATCATGTCCGCGTGTCCTCAAGGTCCGTTCTTGTTGCAGCCTGTGTGAGAATGTCCTTCCCTTTTAAGGCTGAATGATGATAATATTCTATGGACACACCACATGTTGCTCATCCACGTATCTATCGGTGGACAGTTGCGTCCAACTTTTGGCCATTGTGGAAAATGCTGCAATGAACGTGGGTATTCACATATGTCTCTGAAACCCTGCTTTGATTCTTTTAGATAAACACCCAGAAGTAGAATCACTAGAAAATCCTACTTTCAATTTTCTGAGGAACCGCCACACTGTTTTCCACGGTGGCTGCACCATCTCGCATTTGCACCAACAGGGCATAAGGATTCCGATCTCTCCACATCCTGGCCAACGCTTGCCATTTTCAGGGGGATGGCGGGGGGGGAGGGGGTGTCCTAACCATCCTAATAGATGCGATCATATAACTTTTAACTCATCATTTTGTCTAGACTCATTCTTTCTTGGACTTTTGCAGTTTTTCCCTCAGCAAAGAGAGAGGATGAAAGTCCCATCCTGCCACAAACACACACATCAAATTCCATTTTCCCAAAAAGGGGGATTAAGGCAGCCCAGTAACACTAAAGGAACACTACAATCCATGATTCCCAACACGGTGTTCGTATATTATGGTAACTAATTGGTTTCTAGAACAATCCCCGAGGGTCCCCCAAAATTCTACTAGCAGGAAGTGAGCTGAGAAAAGCTTCAGGAGTGGCCATGGGAGACACAAATCAGCAAGGAGACTCTCATAGGTAAAAACTAGATTTGGAAAGAAACTGGGCCATCTTTAGTCCCTTTAACTTTCCAAATCTTGACTCTCAGTCCTATGCCCCTTGGTAGTGGCAGTGGGTGTGGTGGGAGGTATCACAATTCTTCAAACAACTGTTTATACAAAAGACTTATCTGATACTATGGAAGTCGCCCAAGTGCCCATCAATAGATGAATGGATAAAGAAGTGATGTATACATATACACTGGAATATTACTCAGCCATCAAAAGGAATGAAATATTGCCATTTGCAACAATGTGGAAGGAACTGGAGGGTATTATGCTAAGCGAAGTGAGTCAGTCAGAGGAAGACACATATCCTGTGATCTCACTCATATGTGGAATTTAAGAAAGAAAACAAAGAAGCAAAAGGAGAAAAATGAGAGAGAGAGAAATCGAGAAACAGACTCTTAACCACAGAGAGCACACTGATGGTTACCACAGGGGAGGTGGGGGGTGTGGGTGAAACAGGTGATGGGATTAGGGAGCGCACCTGTCACGATGAGCACTGGGCGATGTATGGAAGTGTCCAATCACTATATTGTACACCTGAAACTAATATTACATTGTATAGTAACTGGAATTTAAGTAAGAACTTTTTTAAACAACATGTTAACGTTTATTTACGTATTTTGAGAGAGACAGAGACAGCACAAGTCGGGGGGGAGAATCTCTAGGATTCTCTCTAGAGAGAGAGAATCCCAAGCAGTCCCCACACTGCCAGCCTAGAACCCGATGTGGGACTTGAATTCACCAACCATGATCATGACCTGAACTGAAGCCAACAGGTGGATGCTGAATTGACCGAGCCACCCCAAAAGAAACATTTTAAGAAATCTTATCTGATAAAGGACTGTCATCCAAAACATACAAAGAAAGCAGAAAACTCAATAAGAAAAAAAATTAATGGTTAAAATGACAAAATTTTGGTTACTTCAATTTTACCACCAACCATAATTTTTTTTTTTTTTTTAATTCTCCCTACTTTCCCTCCCATTATACAACACGGACAGAACAGGTCCAATGGGAAGAGAGCTAGACAATCGTGGACACAACTGCATTTCAGGCTTCGATCCTGACAGGAAAAACAACCAAGGGCAGGCAGCCTGGGGCTGGTTCAAGGCCCAGAACCAGGAGCAGAAAACCGGGGCCCCCACGTGGGTCCCGCGATCACCGAGGACCGCAGGAGGTGGCAGATGGCCACACAGCGGTCCTAACCCAGCAGGGCGAGGAAGAAGCAGCCCTCGCCCCTAAAAGATGGGAGAAGGCTCTGAGCGAGAGAGACCAAAGGAAGCGATGCCTGAGCCCCTGCCCAGCCCGCCTCGCAGCCAACACTCGCTGGGCAGGATTCGCGGCGCCACCTGCTGGTGACCTTGCTGCACTGCAGACGGCGCTGCATGCCCGCCAAGTCCAGAACAAAAGGAAGGACCAGGCGGCCTTTCCCTGGACTCCACGGTGGGTCTCAGCCCCTGTCAACTGCCTCACTGGATAGGCGATTTCATTCAAGGTTGTGGGAGGGCCCCCGGCTTCCAGGTGGGGAGACTGCGCGTCGGGAGGGGTACATGTCCATGAAAAAGCTACAGAGGGTGATGTGGATGGGCGGTCTACTTGAAAACCCCGCGGCTGCGCGCCAGGCTCCGCCGCAGAGCCACCGCACCTCCTTGTTGCGCAGGGTGTCCACCACGGGGTTCAGCAGCGGCGTCACCACCGTGTAGAGCACAGCCACCAGGCGGTCCTGGTCGGGCTTTCCTCCGGACTCGGGCCGCGGGTAGATGATGGAGGCGCGGCCAAAATGCACAATGACCACGGCGAGGTGAGGGTGGAGAAGGCCTTGCGCCGGCCGGCTGCCGAGGGGATGCTCGCAACGGCGGCCGCGATGAAGGCGTAGGACAGCAGAATGAGGAGGAAGGAGACCAGCACCACGAGGATGCTCAGGAAGAAGATGGCCGTTCCCCTGCCGCCTTTGTCGGAGCAGCTGAGCTTCAGGACAGGGGCGATGTCACAGAAGTGCTCCACGAGGCCGCTGCGGCAGAAGGACGAGGAGAAGATCATGCTGGTCTCAATCAAGGCCACGGAGAACCCGGAGCAGAAAACCAGGCCTCCCAGGCAGAGGCAAACCGTGGGTCTCATGATCACCGAGGGCCGCAGCAGTTGGCAGATGGCTACCTAGCGGTCATAACCCATCAGGGTGAGGAGGGAGCACTGGCTGCATCCCAAGCCCAGGAAGAAGCACATCTGGGCCCAGCAGCCAGGGATGGAGATGGCCTGGCTCTCCAGGAGCTGATGAGCCAGCATGTCGGGGATGGTGATGAGCGCGTAGCAGGAGACGGGGACAACACTGCCAGGAAGCGGCACATGGGAGTGTGAAGGGCCTGATCCGTGGGGATGATGGTGATGATGGTGACGTTGCCCCCGGGGGTCACCAGGTATGTGACAAAGAACAGCGCAAAGAGGGTAGTTCTCAGGTCGGGGAGGTGGGAGAAACCCACCAGCACAAACTCAGGTCACCAGCTGAAAGGGTTGTTCTGTGTCCTTCACCTTGACCACGCCTCCTGCTCTTGAGTAACCTCCCGCTCACCTGCCTAACAGGACTCGAACCAACCCTTCCCCAGCCAATCGGCTGAGGCCACAGCCATTACCTCACCAACTGCCCCCAGGCCCCAATAAAACCTTTGTGCTGTTGAAACTCGCTCTCTCCCTGGTATCTCACCGCTGCGTCGGTGCAGGTAGGGGATTGAGCTCGAGCTAGCTCGAATAAAGGCTCTTTGCTTTTGCATCGGACTCGGCTCCCTGGCGGTCTTTGGGGATCACGAATTCTGGGCATAACACAGCCAGGTGGCATTTTCCTCCTGCTTCTCGAGAGCCTGAGAGGAGAGGACAAGAGGAAATAGAATGGGACGATTTGGTAAGGACCTGCCATGCATGCAGGGCTGCGGGGTAGGAAATTATCCCTGTTTCACACAAAAGGAACGAGGCTCAGATATTACGAAATGTCACCCAGCTAGCAAATGTCGCTTCAGTAGACAAGAAAACCACACACGTGGAGACAACCCAACTGTCAGCCAATGGATGAATGCGTAAAGATGTGGTATAGGGGTGCCCGGCAGGCTCAGTGGGTAGGTCATGAGACTCTGGATCTTGGGGGCGGGCGGTGAGTTCCAGCCCCACGTTTGGTGTAGAGATGACCCTAGAAGAAGAAAAAGGAGGAGGAGGAGGAGGAGGAGACGGAGAAGAAGGAGGAGGAGGGGGAGAGAGAGAAGGAGAA